TAACCTAACAGTGATTCCTCGTCAATCAACTATTCACCTAAACAAAAAAGACTTTAATTATTACAAACCAACCCACATACAAATTTACATGCATAAATTGAATTATTGATTGAAATTAAGCTATTATTTCCTAAGAGTAATGATATACTTATAATTGACTCATACAAACAAACAAAAAGCAAAGGATATAAAAGTTATTTTACATAAATTTTGTGTAATTTTTGCTTGTTTGTATAACTTAGTTGTAAATAAAACATTATTGGGTCCGTTTGTTTCATTATTTATCACTATTCTATCCTTATTCCAAATACAAATACACGTTTGTTTCCCTATTTTCAAAATCCTATCTTAAATTAAAAAACTTTTTAAACTCTCTAGGTTTGTTAATTGACAAAAACACCCCCAACAAAAAAATTTATAAATTAAAAAAAACACCTCCACCCATCCATAGTTGCCAGATTTCGACAACCACCATCGGTGGTAGTTGGAATCTGTCACAATGGTGCAATAACGGCCGAAAATGACCGATAATGAGCTAATCTAGCTTTTTCCGACCAGATCTATGATGGTCGTCATTGATTGTCAACAACGGCTATTTCTTTGGTCGTCACCGATGGCCAAATCTGGCCTTTTTCGACCGTTGACAGTCAAATGTGGCCGGATCTGGCTTGAAAAGGCCAAATCAGCTCACGAAAGGTCAGACCCAACCGGTCGTGTGTTGTAATGCCAGATTTTGATAAGATCCCGACGGTGGTGGCCGAAATCTGGCACTGTGGATAGGTGGGGGTGTTTTTGTCATTTTACAAATTTTATATATATTGGGGTGTTTAGTTACCCTAGCAAACCTAGGGGTTTTTTTTTGTTATTTTTTAAAATTTACCTCTTAATAATCATCCAACTCTACCTATCAATAATATTTCAAAAATACTACTCAAAATACTAAAACAAACACACCCATTGATTTTTAATTTTTTTTTTTTTTTAAGTAATGTTATCAAGATTGCATATTTGATACTTTAATTAACATAGTTATGCAATGTTTTAATAACCAACTCGGGGTGAAACCCAGCAAAGTGGTCAAGTCTTGGGTTGACTAGTTTAACTAGTTTGACCGACGGGTCAAGCCGATGTTCAAAAATTTGAAGTCTAAAAGAAACCCCCCAAAAAATTACTTTTAAGTCCCTATAGATTTGAAACCTTCAACAGCCCAGACACTATATTTATTACAAACAAACCCACATACAAATTTACATGCATAAATTGGATTATTGATTGAAATTAAGCCATGATTTCCTAATTATTCATAAACAAGTTCAAAAGCAAGTATTAAAGTTACTTTCAAGAAATTATCACTGTATTTATATTATTTTTTGAAGGTTTTACTATACGTACAAATAATTCTGATAAATAATGCTAATGCTTACGATCATAATTTAACTTATTTAAGAAAATTGTATGAAATTTCTAAGAGAAACATTACCGCAGTGAATGGATACATTTAAACTATTAAAATAAAAATAAAAAAATGTTTCTTGAAGAAGCACTCTATACAATTACAAGTTAGTGTCTTCTCAAAAACAAAGCCTTTTACAACCTATTAAAACCTTTTGATGGGGCAATAGAACAAGAAACAAAATTTCATAATTACAAATTGTGCAGATTTTTTGTATGTGCAAGTTGGATTATGAAGAGCAGATCACCTAGACCACCTCCAAAAGAAGAACAAGATGTCTACTGTCAACATCATACCCATATATTTGATCCATGTATCGACATGGTTCCTCCTTTCTATCAGCCTCAACACAAATTGGAGAGGCCCACCGTGTTGAGAACATCCAGGGCTTTGCGTTGCGATTTCTGAACAACAGATGGCAAAAATTAACAAAGCTCTTCATAGAGATCAATGGCAAAACAGTTAAGTCCAGTTTTAATGATCTCTAATTATCTAAAGCTCAGTTTAACGGTTCAATTGAGTCCCCGAAAAGCTGCATAATGAATAGCAACCCTGCATAACACTACACGATGCCACTGCTTCCCATTGCTTATTTATTGGAAACCTAGAAATTAACAATCTATTACCAATCAACCAAACGTAAAACTACAGTAATTTTCAACATCTATCCAAAATTCTTCCCCTAGGTAGTTTCTGTGGGCAAGCGATAATTTCAAAACAACGTACAAATAGATTTAGATACTAAGAAAATATAGTAACATGAATATGGGATATCGATGTTTTGAAGCAGAGTCGGGCAGATGCCTGATGTCGATTTTCTCTTCTACACTTAAATGTCAATTGACACAAGTCACTTTCCTCTTTCACCTAAAACTCACTCTTCACGTAAAGCTTTGTCTTTTAGTGAATTCACTCGGCAAAAAAGACAGAAATTTGCAATCTCTCATAAATTGTTTGGGAAAAAACTGACTATAAACCAAAAAACTGATTATTAATGATTCGAAGAACATACACGGTGCAATGATATAGTGTGCACATGCCCATAAGCAGAGGTTTGATTTTAGTTACCTTAAGGTGTTCTCTTTGCTCTGCATATTTAGCAACGACTGCTGTTCCAGTTGCAAAAAATTCTTGCAACATCCTCGATGAATTCTTGAGCTTCCTCATAAAAAATTCTCAACACATGAGAAGAGTCTCCATTCTAGAACATAAAATAAATTCATTAGATCGTAATCAAAATTCTATTTCCAAAACAGAGAACACAACAGTTTATTCAAATGATACAGAAATAGAAAGAAAAGCATACCTACACCGTTGATCAGATGAAGTAGTCATTGGCATTGTTTCACCCTCAACAAGATGCTCTACAACTGTTGCCAGCAATGTTACAACCTACAAACACAGAGAGATGATGCAGAAAATGAGTGGGAGAGACAATGTAATAGATTCTACTAAATCTCAAAACCACATAACGAGCAACAAAAAGGAAAAATAATCGATAATCTCAACAACATGAGCAAAATACACTTGGGAATTTGATGTGGCTATTAGCTCTAAGTTCATTATATCAATCTCATGGCGTGTTAAATTAAACTGACTGATAAACAAGTTTATTATCCATCAGGCACCATGGATTAGCCAATTTTGTATGCTGAAGAGCATACGATTCAATTGTCACATAATTTGCTAAAGCAACAAGGCATTAGTTGGTATAAGAATCTAACGGTATTTAAGCATATATATATATATATATATATATATAAGCAATGGAAGGGAATATATTAATGAGTAAAAACAAAAATAAAAGAGCGGATCAGAAATCCTCCATGATTAGATCTCCCCCAAGTGTCTCTACAAAAAACCCCAAGAACCTCACCATGTATTACATTAAAAGAGAAGAAACTTGAACAATAAAAGAGGTTTTAAAAGTCTGGATTGTTTCTAAACCACCATTCTCATTGCAAATGACTGAGAACCTATATTAGATCCTTGTTTTTCGAAGAAAATAGGTAAACAAAGCTTAGACCTCAGTAAACAAACAAAAGATTCTTGCAACATCCTCGATGAATTTTGAACAGACTGCATTGCTTGAGCTTCCTCTCCAAAAATTCTCAACATATGAGAAGAGTCTCCATTCTAGAACATAAAATAATTTCATTAGATCGTAATCAAAATTCTATTTCCAAAATTGAGAACAAAATAGTTTATAACAAGAATGGGTCACATACAGCTCTTCCAAGCAACTCTGCCCTCTCTCTAGCTTCATTCGTCCGCCTCTGATTTCTAAAAAGTACTTATCCAGACTTTCTTTCAGTGATTCGGCCTATTCTGCTACTTGTTCCCCTTTTCTGAATATGACATAATATAACTAGAAACCCATCAAGATCCATGCAATTAAGTTGTAGCATCAAAGAAAGTGAAAGAAAAAAACACAATTAAACCGAAACTATCAAGAAGACAACAAGATCATTAAAAAAAATAAAAAACTCAAATTCTCTTCTAGATCCCACTTCAACATGCATTTCTTCAATTGACATCATTGATCCACCAATGCACAGAGAAAACACACGATTGCAAATGACTCATACCAAAAACACATTCCGCCCTAACATTAAAACTAAGCCATGCATTGAGCTCAAAGAAACTCTACGGTGTAGTTATATCTCAATGGAATTTCACTGCACAGATATTTCAAGTAATCAACAAACTACCAATCGATTCCATACAAAAACATAATCAAGAATTCATATAAACTAGTTCGTGATTTTTTCTTTTAAAAGACAGATAAATAAACAAATAATTAACATCATCATTAAATACCATTGTTGAATCATAATCTCCGTCAGACGTGGAGCCCTCAAGTCTCTCTAGCTTCACGACTCCATCTCTAGTTCTCAATACCCCTTTAGCGCTCTGGTATATCTCCAGTAATGTCCTGCCTCCTTCAACCGGCATCGCCATTACGACTGGAGCTTGAATTAAATTTGGGTGACCGTGTGAACCTTTTTCAAGGTAACAGTAAGGGGGGTTTGTTATTGTAGGTTACATGACACGTCAATGAACCGATAATAATTTGACACGTCATGGATAGAAGAAGGGGCTTGGGTGAGGTAAAATTAAAGCATTTTTTCGGTGCATAGATGTGATTACAACAAAAAAATGAGTCTGGCGCTGGATTAAAGCTAAATAAAGATTGAATGATTAAGTTGAATGATTATAACAACTTTTGATGAGCCAATTTCACCGAATAGTATCATCATTCACCAAAGATTCGTTAATACATGTTTCCAATTTCCAACACACAAAAAAATTCATAATTCACACATTCGTTCAATTAGGCACATCAGAATGAAAAAAGAACCTCTGCTGTTCCAATCAATTTTCAAATGAAGAAAGAATTAAGCTTTTTAAAAGCATCAATCACAACGAAAGAAAGCAAAAGCTGAACAGTAAGAAAGAATTAAAAGTTCTCCCACTGTCTGACCTCAACATACGGAATTGGAAGCGCAATAATATCTTACAAACTACAGCAAAAGTGCTCTTGTCCTTATTCCGGAGATTTCATCGAAGTTTGACCTGAATAATCCTTTCCATAAATCTGAATATTCTGTAAATAGAAAGCACAAGACGTTGAAATTGAAAACTGGAAGTGCAAGGAAAAGTTATTTTGATTTTGAGCTATAAAATGACGATAGTTTAGCAAACAAAGGTTTTGTCTACGGTTATCAGTTCCCAAGGGCTGAGGATGCATGGACTTGCTTCGAGCAACAATGGTTACAAGTATTTTTATAAACTTATATTATCAAGGCTTCATGTGTAAAGGGAAATGAGAAAATCCAGAGAAGTAATTCTTAACTGAATACGTACCAGATTTTTGTGTTGATTCTGTATAGTAGTATTAAGGTCACCCTCCCAATACCCTTCATTGTCAATCCAGCTCTGCTTTACTTTTTGTAAACTTGGTGTGCTTAAGACTCCTTCGGAGAAAGTCTTCATCTTAGAACATTCATCCACAACTAATTTTTCCAAAGTTGGGAATCTAAAGGAGTAATTCCCAGAGCAAAAGCTTGTAAGACTTTCCAAGTCATAAAATACTAAAGACTTCAATTCTTCAAAAACAATTTCATCGTTTTGTTTATCTCCTTCATTTGACACTACTTGTATCATCATTTCACATTGGAATATTGACATTTCTTTAAGTCTCACCAGACTTTTGGCTGTTGAGGATGATACTAAGTTTATCAATCCACTGCAATTCCATATCTTCAAAATTGTTAGATTTTCAAATGATGCTGAAGAAGGCAGTAGATTAATCAAATTGTCACAACAACACACTTGTAGAATTTCAAGATTTTGAAGATTTGAATACACATGAGAGTCTTGTTTCCACATGTACTTCAAATCAAAAAGTCCCCAAAGCAGTAACGCTTTTAATTGTGTGAGCATTCCAACATGTTTCTCATCCTCTCCACATGAGAATATCTCTTGATATGAACTTAATTTCAATACGAGTTTTTCGAGATTCTTAAATCTTTGAAGAATTTCAATTGGAATGTGTGCTGATTCATCCCTAATGACCTCAAGAACTTTAACTTGGCAAAACTGATGTTCTGGTAATGGGACTTGCCACACAGGCATCATATCATTTCCACTTAATGCCAATTTTTCAAAATTGGAGTTTACCTGAATTTTAATCATATAAATCATGTCAAAATAGATATTCCCTTAAACATGTTCACACAAAAGTAGGAATAGATATATACAAAGAAAAGACAAAAATCATATATTTGTTATTGCAGAAAAACTAACGTGTCATCCCAGTGAAGCTGTAATTGCATGCTTAAGATTTCCCAAAAGAGAATATATTATTAGTTAAAATTTTCTGTATCTAATTAAGATTTTCTGTTAATTTGTTCTTAAAAATTATGCACTCGTCTAGATTTTACCATTAAGAGGCTATTACTGGTTATAACTTTGTGATGCCTTAGTTAATTCCTCTATCTTATTAAAAATATCATGAAAGGTTCAATAAGCACCGAGCAGGGCCACCTACAGGGGACTCAACTAAGGAAATTGCCATAGCCTTTTGACGGTAATACTTAATATCCTTCATCCTCATCCTATGTATTTTGTCGTACTTTTTGCAAATTTAGTGTACTTAAGTTTCTTCCAGAGAAAATATTCATCTTGGGACAATTTACAACAATTAATTCTTCGAAAGCTGAAAATTCAGAAGTGTAATTCCCAGTGCAAAAACATATGAGATCTTCTAAATATAGAAGTGACAATGATGGCTGTGATTGCGACAGAAAATTATTCCAACAAAATCATCCTTTAAAATTTCAAATTAGAAAATTGATTAAGAAAAATTCTGGGCCATTTAATTTGATGATAGACACGTGTCAGGAGCTTGTTATCCCAATCGCATCTAGTTAAGGTGCAAGTGACGTTAATGAACTAGCGAGAGGTGAGTTGTGCTGACTGAGTGGGTCAGTCATGCAGAGCGAGTTGTAAGTTGTGGGTTGTGTTGTGGTTATCCCATTGTTGAGTTTTGAACAGTTATGGATGATAAAAGCTTTGATACTTTCAGTTCTTTTACGACTATAAACTTGAACCATTAATTTGCATGATAAAAAGTCATGGCTTTGTTTCTCTTGAATTAATATTAAAGATCTACTGTACTATATGGGTTATGGAAATTATGATTTAATTACCGGAGATTATCAATTAAAGATCACGTTTTTTATTATTCCAGTTTTTCTTAATTTTGTTAGTTTTTAAATTTTTATGGTTTCTACAAAGTTTTAAAGGGAATGCTAAAATATGTAATCAAGATTTTTGTCAGTAATTCGTTGGATATAATTTTTTTAGTTTATTTCTTTTTGCTTTTGTTTCATTTGTACTTAAATATGTAATCAAGATTTGCCACGTTTGTTGTTAAGTGTAACAGTAACTAACCATTGAGTGTCTCTAAATTGAAGGATTTGACATTTGTGTATTTTTTTTTTTTTTTAGCATTTCAATAAAATATCATACCTAAAGTGATAATTTCCTTTTAATTAATATTTAAATATAAACTTTCATTTATTTTAATGTAAATAGGTTTTAGTTAATTCATTTGTTGTAAATACATATTTCATTATGTTAATGGAACTCAGATTCAATCAATATTTAGAATATATTTAACTGTTATTTTAAAGATTTTTTAAGGGTAAAAGTGTCTCTACAACCTAAAATGGTAACCTTGGACTAACTTCGGTGACACTAAGTGCTTCCAGAGAAAATGACTGAGCGATTTATATTTCTTTGACCCTATAATTCCATTACGTTATCAAGCAAAACCTCAAAGTCAAAGGGTGTATATGTCAGTCATCCTAAAAAGATATCCCTTTAATGGTAATGAATTGAATAATTGTCATTTTAAGAATTTAATATTCATTATTTTCAATAAATTTTTCTTTTAAAAGTTAAAATTCTATCTTTCAATATTTATGCATTTCTTTATAAATAATATTTGGATACTTGGTATTTCTTTTCCCAAGTATTTAGAATAATATTATGAAGGGGTCAAGAAATATAAAAGGAAAAATAAAATCTAGAGAAAAGTAAATGATAATTGAACACATACCACTTTTTTGTGTAGATGTTGTATGGTTGTATTAAGGTCACCCTTCCAACACTCTTCTTCATTGTAATCGTGCTCAAACTTTATGTTCCTTAAACTCCGTACACTTACAGTTGCTTTAGAGAAAGTCTTCATATTGGAACAATTTTTCACAGTTAATTCTTCCAAAACTGGGAATTGGAAATTGTAATTCCCAAAGCAGAAACATGTGAGACTTTCTAAATCTTCAAGGGACAACAACTTCAATTTGCTAAAAACAATTTCGTCTTCTACTCTTAAATCTTCATGATCCTCATTAGAGATAATTTCAACTATCATTCTGCAGTTTTCTATTTTCATTTCCATCAGTTGCACCAAGCTTTTGGCTGTCGAGGGTACAAATAAGTTTGTCAATCCCAAGCAACGATCTACTCTCAAAACTGTAAGGTTTGCGAAAGATGCATGGGATGGCAGCAAACTAATCAATCTGCCACAATCATATACTTCAAGAACTCCAAGATTTTGAAGAACAAAGTCCAATTTGGAGTCTTGTTTCCACACGCATTTTAATTTAGCAAGACTACTCAACTTTAAACTCTTTATCTGCATCAATGTCCTTTTATGTTTGTCTTTCTCACCATATGAGAATATTTCTTTGTATAAACTTTTACTTAATATGAGTTTTTCGATATGAATAGATCGTTGAAGGATGTCAAGTAAAAAATTTGTTGATTTATCACCTTTGATCTCAATTGTACCTTTGAAAAAGAAGTGTTCTAGAAATAAACACTGCCATGTCATTATGTTGTCTCCTCTTAGTCGCAATTCCTCCCAATCCGCATTAAACTACAAATCAATCAAACAAAATCAAATTCGAGTTGAAATTCCAATCCAATTGAAATTAAAAAAAAAAAAAAAAAGCCAATTAATTCACAACTGACATTACTTTTTGGGCTTGGGCTTTCATGACAAGTTGACAACAAAAAACTTTGATGTGATAAACTCGTGTTCTTTCACATGTGTTAAAAGAGTTTGTTAATTTTAACTCTCTTAAACAATATAGCATAAACTTAAATTTATTTTTATTTATAAAATTCATACATTTTTGTCGTTTTTGGAAAAAAATATTGACTATTTTCAAAAGTCAAAATAGAAAAAACAAGCGTAAACAGTTAGTATTTTTAAAAAGTTGTTTTCTAATTTTATAATTCAGATAGATAAAGATTTTATTATGTATTCTTTGAATAATTAAATTTGAGATTTAAAATTGTAAGGAACATTAGAAGGTCTTATAATTATTACTCCAAATATATATTTCTGCCATTTCCAATATTACATACATGTAAACATATTGTAAAGAACTATTTTTTCAACATTTCTTTTAAAAAAAAAAGTGTGAGAAGTGATTGTTTTAAGAAAATAATTTTATACTTTTTATAAATATAATATATAAAATCTCTTTATTTATTTTTTTGAATAATTTTAAGGAAAATTATAAGGTTTTATAATTATTACTTTAACTATGTATATCTATCATTTTGCGAATATTGAAAATGAAATTCTATTTATTTTAATTTATTCCTTATTTACTTTAAAAAGAATTTCCAAAAAAAAAAAAAAATTATCATATATATTTTAATTTTCTTGGGCTATGCATTATATAATTAGTATTAAATTTAATTTGGTGTGGAATTCATTATTTTGAATTATATAGAAATTTACTTTACCTGATAACATTGAATGAAAATTTTGTAAACAAATGTGAAAGAGAGGTTTTAAATTCTACAAGTAGACTCCATACTGGTAAACAGATTCTAACCAAAAAAGTTTTAAAATGATCAATGTAGACTTCAAACTGGTCAGCAAACACTAACACAAAAGTTAAACATATGCATAAGTTTTATTTTATTATTAAATGAAGAAAAAGGGGCTCATACCTTAAAATCTGACGTTAATTGTAATTTGTCACACTTAGACACCTGTAACTCCTTTAACATGGGCCATTCTGAAATGTGTAGTCCAAGGCATAAACCTATAAGTTCTGGTAAGTCCTTAAGCTTTAGAAAAGCTACCTGCGGAAAGGTAAAATTGGCAATTGCATCTGTTCCTTCTTCTTTAGTAACAATCTCTTTTAATTCCTTACAAGAGCTGATTTCAAGTTGTCGCAGTTGTGCAAAGCTTTTAATCACAGAAGATGGAAATATATATTTTAATTTTGCACACTTCATCACGATTAAGCAAGTCAAATTTTGATAGCAAGAAGACCTATTTCGAATTAGGTGGTCCCAGATCATTTCAAAATAAGTACCATACAAATCCAAGGCCTCCAAATTAGGGAAATCAATCTGCACCTCAAAGTTAACCGATTGCTGTTTCAGTATTTTCTCAAGAGAAACTAAAGAATTAATATAAAAATAAATGCAGTGGTGTAACACAATAACTTTTTATTGGTGGGACGCATAACTGTACATAAGATAGAAATGAGTTTACCTTATAACACTAAATGACAAATTTGTAAAACGTAGAGCAAGAAGTTTTCGTTTGCTCAAGTGGACATCAGCTATTGATCAATGAATTCAAACCAAAATGTTAAACATAGCAACTTCAAATATGCGGAGTTATTGTTTAGAAAGTTTATTCAATTTTCTTCTTTTTTTTTTTTGAGAAAATGAATTATTTTCTAAATTCCAAAAAAAAAAAAAAAAGTGAATAGTTCCCGTTTTAACAAAGTTATTTTATTTATTTTTTATAATTAAGATACATGACTTTATTTTTGGAAAATTTTGATTTTATTTTTAAAACTTGTAAGTAACGTTATAAGATTTTATAATTATTACTTCAAATATGTAATTCTGTCATTTTGCAAATCTTGAGAATAAAAAAATTATTTATTTATTTATTTTACTTTATTCTTTATTCATTTATTTTAAAATATTTCATTGAATAGATTTTAATTTCTGGGACTATGCATTATATGAATACTATTAATTTTACTATAGCATTAATTCATTGCTCACATACTCATCTTTAACAAAGGCATCTAAAATAAGGAAAAACCAAAGTGGATTTCAAATTGCATTACTTTTTTATATTTGTTATTGAAGAAAGAATAAGGGTTGTACCTTGCATTGTGAAGTGGACATTTGTAGTTTGTCACAACTAGACACTTGTAACTTCTTTAACTTGGGCCATTCTGAAGTGTGTATTCCAGGGTAAAAAGTTGTAAGTTCTGGTAAGTTTCCAAGTTTAAGAAATTCTATCCTTGGAAAGATGAATGTAGGAGGTGCTTCTTCTCCTTCTTTGGCAACAATCTCCTTCAACTCCTTACAAGACCTTATCTCAAGGTGTTGGAGCTGCTTAAAGTTTTTAACCATAGATGATGGAAATACATATTTCAGCTTTCCACTATTTTTGATGATCAAGTGTGTCAAATTTCGATAGCACTCAAACATTGGCGGAAGTTGACTGTCCCACATCATTTGGGAATTGATTGCTTTCAGTTCTAAAGCCTCCAAATTCGGGAAAACAACCTGCACTCAAAGTTAATGGTTTCAATATTTCCTCAACTGATCAAGTAAAAGAAGTAACAAATGTTTCAACTCGCACGGACATGTTTTCTTCAAAATCTGCATTCCAAATTCCAGTCCACTTAACAAACAAAAGACAACTGTTTTTCCTTTATTTACATATCTGCAATTAGTTTTTGTCATGCACATTGATTTGCACAATAAAACTTTTATCTGATAACACGTATTTCTTCTACTTGTACAGTTGTACTAAAAGAGATTGTCTTTTTCACTCAGAAAATATTGCATACACTTATACTTATTTTTATTTACAGAATTATTATTTATATTTTAGAAAAAAAATTATTTACAAATATTTGCTTTCATCTGTCTCTTTGTTGAAGTAAAGAAACCAATGACTGTGACACAAATCATAGCTCATATATATGCTCATTTTTAATTCAATCATCTAAAATATGGAAAAAGAAAAGTAACCTGAAAAGTGACAATTTTGTAAGTAAAAGCATTCTTGTAAGACAAACATGTAGTTATGGAACGCATTTGCATCCAATAGAAATTTAGTCAATTACCTAATAACAATAAATGCAGTTCATATGTAAATATAGACAAGAGGTTTTAATTTGCTCAAGTGGATTTCAAATTGATTAGCTAATTCAAACCAAAATGTTAAAAGCCAAAAAATTGTCTCCTGCACTACCTTTTTTTTTTTTTTTATTACTAAACAAAGAAGAAGGACCATACTTATATTGTGAAGTGAATATGTGTAGTTTGTCACAACTATACACCTGTAACTTCTTTAACTTGGGCCATTCTGAAGGGTAAAAAGTTGTTAGTTTTGGCAAGTTTTCAAGTTGAAGGAATTCTACCTGTGGAAATATAAATGTGGGAGATGCTTCTACTCCTTCTTTGGTAACAATCTCCTTCAACTCCTTGCAAGACCTTATCACAAGGTGTTGGAGCTGCTTAAATTTTTTAACCATAGATGATGGAAATACATATTTTAGTTTTCCAAAGTCCTTGATGATCAAGCGTGTCAAATGTTGATAGCAATCAGACATTGGCGGAAGTTGACTGTCCCATATCATTTGAGAATCGATTGCTTTCAGTTCTAAAGCCTCCAAGTTCGGGAAAATAACCTGCATTCATATATGAAGTAATAAAGCAATAATTAATTCTCATTGTTATATGCAAGACATGCCATTAATGTTAAAAATCTCTCTTTTGTCTCTGAATAGTTTTAATCACAGAAAATTATTAAGGATTATTGAGGATCTATCTCCCTCTCTTAGCATATGCACATATTTAACGTACTCATCAATACACAAACTTTAGCATACCAAAACAGTTGCTAGAACCTAGAATCAGGCATGAAATGAAGTCCATTTGATAAAACTACGTACTACACAGGCACACAAATTGTATATTCAAATTAGCTTTAAACTAAACATTCAAAAGAATGATCTAGGAATGAGATTTAACTATAAATTTGAATGACTAGATTAATTGATGCTGAAAGATAACTATAACACAGTTCTATATATATAGATGCAGTTTACTTATGTTAAGTTAGTAGAAGAGACTCTCTCTCTCTCTCTCTCTCTCTCTCTCTCTCTCTCTCTGTGACTTCTTTTCAATGAGGAACTTGTTTTCTTATAAATGTTAACAAAGAGAAGCAGCATTAAGAAAAGATATAAAACATAATACATGAACACATTGTTATGGTCAAACAAACCTTTTCGCTAAAAAGTGGCATGAGTGTATCATTGGACTGCAAATTGATTGTCAATTCCTTCTGTCTTGTTTGCAATGTTGGAGGTGTCTTTAGTCGTGAGTAGAAACTTGCAAGGCTTTTAAGAGAATCAAGAGTCAGGAATCGTAGTTGGCTGAACTTGATCTCATGATCAATTTCTTCATTGTTGTTCACATTGTATTCTCTTTCAACAGCAAAAATCTCTTTCATATTCTGGCAATCTTTCACCTTAATTCTTTGAAGTTTAGGAAGGCTTCTGCTAGCATTGGAGAATGAAAAGATATTTTCCAATTGAGCACAACTTTTCACTAAAATGAATTTTAAGTTGTAGAAAGACTTTGTTGTGGGTTCACCATAACATATCTTCTCCAACTTAATCAAATTAAAAAGAATCAGTGACTCCAAGATAGGGAAGGCAGGGAAAGAATCAACAGATATGCACTTTGTAGAATCAACTATGTGCAAAAGGTTAGGATTATTAAGGACATGGAGATGTTTTAGTTGTGAAAAACCCTCCTTGTCTAATTCATAAAGATCATCCTTGATACCGTTTAGTCTGTCTAAGCATAAGAATTCAGCATTCTTGAAGCGCTGCAGTTCAGCTGGCCAAATGAAAGAATTAAGCTTCAGTCTTAACGTTCTCAGAGTCTCATGCTCATTCCACATAAAGCTGTCAATTATCATTGAATCATCATGAAGACCAAGTATGTATCCCGGAAAATAACTAGACAACTCATGTCCTATCGATATTTTATACCTTTCAAGATTTGTGGAGAACAAGCCTTTTGGCAAAATCTTGTCATCTCTAATATCTATTTCTAAAGTGGTGAGCTGACGCAAATGTTTCAACTCATCAAGACTAGCACTTCTTCTTTCAACACCGAGTCCTTCAACTTGCCATAAAACATTGCATCCACTCATATACAGCTCTTCCAATTTACTCAAACTTGATATCACATTTGGAGCAATAATTTTTAATTCCCGACAGTTGCTCAAATCTAACAACCTTAGCTGAGTCAATTTAGCTATTTCTTCGGGCAATTGCTTGATAGCAGAATGTCTCAAGCTAAGGATTTTTAGTCTCTTCAACTCTCCAATAACAACAACGTCTTGAATGTTGCTGTTGTCCAAACTCAATGTTTGAAGGTTTGTTAGGAGACCAAGTGATGAGGGCAATAATGATAACCCAGATAAATTTAAAACTTTCGACTTTGGTAGACCCGTAAAAAAATTTTCAGGGATTTTGAAAGAAGAACCCATCATATTCATATAGAAAAATTCAAGTACTGGACAATCTAAACCTTCAGGCCATTGCTCACTAATAACTTTACTACTAGCCAAAGAGATTTTTGTGCATTTTCTAAGTTCATCTTTATTCGTCCATTCCTTTCCAACATCATTTCCCTCCGTAAATACATGTTCTTCTTTACATGCAATTGTTAAGGCAACAATACGAACAATATCATGCATAGAAAATCGTTCATTGGTAGAACTGTCAAGTAACAAACACGAGTCTTTGAGGTCACCGACGAGTTTATCTACTCTATTTCGTGCTTGTTCCATTGTAAGGTTAACTCCTTCAAGTATCTCCAAACCCATAACATATTTCAACAAGTCTAAGATGGAAGAATTATTTACCATTAGACTAGCAATTAGAAAAATTTTCTTCAGCTCGTCACCTTTTAAATAATAGTAACTCAACGCTATCTTTGAATATTCCTCTTCCAGCAATCCTGTGAAATTTAACGGGGAAGGCTTTCTTAGTTCTCGCAAGGCATCGTCCCAATCAGCTCGACGTCTCTTGTTCCTTAATGCTCGCGCTATGGTAGTAATGACAATTGGCAAACCTCTACATTCCTTGCAGACATCATTGGGTAGAGAGTTCAGCTTACTTTTTTGATCAACAACATCACCTGCAAAGGAACCCAAACTACATGTCAAAGGGGCAAAAGTATTATTTTTCATTATGTAGAGTAATTTAAAATCCTTTTAGAATTATTAGGAAATTATTTTTANATCCAATACTATCCCCAAAATCCTACCCAAAATAATAAGCCAAACGCACCCTAAAATTTTTATGCTACAGGAAGTATAAGAAACAATTATATTGTAATATAAAATAACTTAATTATATTTGAAATCTCTGTTTTTTTTTTTTTTTTTTTTTTTTTTTAATAAGAAAGATATGGTAAATCAAAAGTGGCCGAACGACTTATTACTACCCAAGGTTCGGCAAAAGAACAGTTTTGCACCCAAAAGGTTTCAAAATGACAAATAGATACTTTTTATTAGTGAAAAAACTAGAATGCCCTTTGAGATAAATCGGTCTATTTTTTTAATTCCTTTAGACCCCTTAAGTTTATTAATTTCATCAAATACCCTTAGAAAAAAGTTTAAAAATTAACAAAAACACCCCCACCTACCCATACATGCCAGATTTCAGCCGCGATCGTCGGTGGTAGTCGGGATTTGTCACAACAGTTTACGCCATGTCGTAAATGGCTGGTAATTCACCGACCTGGCCTTTTCCCACTAGATCCACAGTGGATCTGGTCAGAAAATACTAGATCTAATGTGAAAATGCCAGATCTGGCTGGAAAGTGACGGGCAAAGAAATGGTCGTCGTTGACTGTCAATGACGGTAAATCTTGGCCATCGTTGACAGACAATGACGGTCACATCTTTGGCTGTCACTGACGGCCAAAGGTGGAGTATATTGCCGTCGACGACCAGATCTGGCCGTAGATCTAGCCTTTTCTGGCTATATCCTTAGTAGATCTGGCCGTAGATCTGGCCTTTATCGGCCATATCCGTGCTGGATTTGGTCGGAAAAGGTCATACCAACGTCTTACCTATCAGATCTGACCAATCTGTGACGTAACACAATTTTTCGGTCAGATTACGATAATGGTGGTCAGAATTTGGCACTACAGATGATAGGAGTATTTTTATTATTTTATAAAAGGTTTATACATTGGGGTATTTAGTTAAATTAGCAAACTTATGAGATTTTTTTAATATTTAAAAAATAAAATATCAAATTTTAAAGGTATTCTAATCTTTTCATTATTAACAAGGTATTTGTTTGTGGTTTTAAAATCTTTTGGGTATCAATTTGGGTCCGTGTATGCCGTTTCCCATGAAGTCTTCTTCAGTGAGCTGAAAAGACAAAACATTGAAAGCAACAAGGCACCATCATGAGCAATTTAATGATTACAGCTAGGTTGGTTTTAATACCGGTTCTGGCAGCAAGAGCCAGTACATAATTGTAATAATGAGAAACAGCTAGGTTGACCAAATGACCAATCAAAGCTATAAATAGCTCGTATGCTGGGCAACCGTTAAACATAAAGATACTTATATATAAACAGTAATTTCATTCATATATAACCGTTTCCTCTGTAGTGTTATACGATAAGTAATGACATTATTTTTTTTGTTGGTAGAGATTAACTACTATTTCTTTTATTGTTTACTAGAGCATAAACTCCCTCTTTTGAACTAATGATTAAGAAATTAATCTATTCATAATAATTATTAAAAGATTATCCATTAATTTGTTATGTAAATGATTAAAGTATTCACTCTGATATTAATTGTCTAACATTCATATTTTAGTCAAACTCAAACTCAAACATTTATAAATACAAAATTCAGCATTTTTTTTACCCAATGGTGTCTTTTTTATGAAAGATGTTTATGATAAAAATTTTAAAATTATTTATCTTCATATTTGTGGAAGAAAAAACCGCTAATGAATTTAAAAAATTTAAACGTAATATAACCAAATTTAAAGAAAGAGTTGGTATGTTCCTAGTCTTGCATTCTGAAACCCAAGAGGTTGACCGGACAACCAATAAGATTTGTTTCTTTCATTGACTTTAGGGTTTAATCCACATTAGAATTACTTATTATATTTATGGTTTACATTTAAAAATTACACTTATAAGATATTGAATGAATCTCAAAAATTAATTACGGTGTGTGTTAGGAGGTCCCAATACCCTATCATTAAAAAAAACAAAAAATTAGTGTATTCTGTGACAACCATCGACATTAAGGAATTTAAACCAAAATTAGTATATTCTGTGTTAGGCTTTGTGCTTAAGTACATAGTAATCATCCTGGGCTGATGATCAGTTGGTTTCCACTAATTCCCCTTTAACAATGCAATAACATGTGGGGGGTTTGGCCTTTTATCAAATTCTTGATTGTACTCTGTTTGGTCTAAGTGATCATCAATATGAAAGCACAAAGAAAACAACTGGACAACTACGGAGCAAAACTACCGAGAGAAAAATACTGACGAGGAGGAAATTATACCAGCGAAGTGTTTCTTTGAAAGAGTTTAGATGTAAACTGTGGATATAGAATCAGATTACAAATTAAAATATGAAGTGATTTAGATATACATTACTACTAATAAAGGAGAAGCACTGGAAAAAATCTAGAGATCAACAAGTGAATGGATTATTGTTAAAAGTAATTTCATGCATATACAAGGAAAGATCTGGTGTTGGACTTTGAAGAACAAAACGGAAAAGAAAAGACTACCCAGAGATCTCTACAATAGAGGGACAGTGGCAGAACCAGAAAATTTCTTCTTGGGGCCGAAATGGAATCTTCAATTAATAGAGGGGCCACGTAAAAGTTGGAACTTGGAAGTTACATTTATATTTATAGGGTCTAAAGTGTTAAGTTCAAATCTCGTGGTGACCAAGTGAAAAAATTAATTTATGAATCGATACATTCCTCTATAAAATATAAAATATTCTGTAAACAAATATTAGAGTAATACTATACTTAAAGATTCTATACAAAATGATATGTTAAAATATGATTAAATAAATTAATACAAAAATTAATTTAATAAATACATATTAAAAGATAGAGAATGATTTTTTTATTAATTCACCTAATCATATTTTATAAAATCTTTTGTAAGTGTAGCCACTGCTATTCAATGTTATTCAATTGGCAATACTATACAATTATAAGACAAATTAGCTAATCTGATCTTAGTCGGCTGAAAGGGCAAAACATTGAAAGACAAATCACCGAAAGCAATGAGACTATTATGAAGATTGTGCAAAAAAAGTGCTAATTCCACGATCAAAAAGAGAAAAAGGAGCCTTTGCTAAATTTTTTAATAATACATTGACGTGGTAGTCTTGTCCCACACGGTCAGTAATTGATGAGAGGAAACTGTTTAAGATGCTCTTTCAGATATATATCATCATCTTTCACTTTCAGTGTGGGGTAGGAGCCAATTGATGCGTGCGACCAAAGTTAAAGTGGCCATAAAAGTTATTTCAAAATTAGAGCTGGGCTGCCTTTACTTGTGGTTCTGGATGAGAGCTAGTACAATAATTGCAAGAATGAAAACCACCAATGCTTTATCTTTTTCTGTTGCTTGAAAAGCTTCATATGCTATGCAGCTGTTTAACAGAAATGCATTTATAATCTATATATATATATATATAATATATAATAAAACAGTAATTTCATTCCGACATAAATACATTTATTGATGAATTAAATTATTTATTTGATAGAATTAAAATTTAGGGGATCTAACAATAATTAAAAAAATAAAATAATATTTTTTAAAAGGTATCTGATCTTTTTATTACCTAAAAGTGTTTGTTTATCATTTTGAAATCTTTTGGGTATCAATACATTTCACGGGTAGGTATAATCGTTCTGCCTATATATATATATATATATATATATATATATATATATATATATCAATTCCATTCATAATTCCCCAAATTCAACTTCAGAATAAAAATTAATAAAACTATCTTATTTTAGGCATCACTCAAACACGTGACACTATCCTTTTTACACTTAGAGCTCTTGGCTTCCCGCTTAAGGATTGCCAATTTGCCACTGTAATTGTAAATTTAGTCAATATATATGAGACCACAAACAATGAATTTATCTTCTTATTGTTGGTTGCGGCATTACCTTGCTTTCAAATCTTCACAAAGTTTGTAAACAATGAGCTACATGTCGAGTCCCTTTGTTCCAATATTTTTCACTATCTTATTTCTACTATTTTCAAAATATACGTTTGTTTCTCTACGTTGAAAATACTATTATATTTTATTCAATTATTTTTTAAATCTCCTATGTTTGTTAATTTAACTAAACACTCCCAAAAAAAGTTTAAAAATTGACAAAAACTATTATTTTTTAAATACTATTATATTTTATTCAATTATTTTTTAAATCTCCTATTGCTAGTATATCGATATAGCCTTTTTCGACCAGATTTACCGTGAATCTGACAAAAAAACCCAGATACAGCTAGATATTTGGCCGTAGTTAGCCGACAACGACGGCCAAGATACGAAGGTCATATCTTTGGCTGTCGTCGTTGACTAAAAGCGACCAGATCTGGTCGTCAATAGAAAGATCTAGCCGTAGATCTGACTAAAAAAGGCCATCTTGGCACACAACTGACCATATCCAGTCGGTCATGCACCGATATGGCGACTCCAATTACTCTCCGACGGTGGTGGCCAATTACCAATATTTAATGGGAGGATGGGGGTGTTTTGCAATTTTTAATATTTTTATTACATGAACGTTTAGTAAATTAACAAACCTAAGGGTATTTTTATTAATTTTTAAATCCTATCTCGTTATTCCCACCTAACTTTTATTATTTCAAAAATACTACTATAAATACTAAAACAATCACACCGGCCATCTTTTATTAAGTTTTGAAAGAGTAGTCCCACCTAACTCTTATTATTTTAAAAATACTATTATAAATACTAAAACAATCACACCGGCCATCTTTTATTAAGTTTTGAAAGAGTAGGTAGTAGAAAATGACAGTTGCGAATCTCTAACAATTTACAAAACAAAAGGTATCTAAAATAAAAAAACATGGAAACACAAAATATTAACATAAAAATAGGTACTTCAAATTAGCTATAGCCTAAATATGTATATATAAAAAGGTGATTCTATTCTCACCCCACCAGTTCTCTAACTAGCCCCTATTCCTTAATTGAGTGGGATAGAATTGTAATTTTATAGTATTATGGCTAATCAAAAGAATTTAACAACCTTAATAATTTTTGTTGGAAGAAAATTATTAATTAAACCTCCAATTTCAAATCAAGTAGGCTAGGCTAATGAACCATTAAAAGATTTTCATGTTTGACGACATGTCATTTCAAATATTGGTTCGGTCCTTCTCGTTTCAACATACAACAATTTTTGTCCTTTAACCTAATAAAAGGTTAGTTAATTGTTAAATTTATGATGAAATGACAAAATTATCCCTTTTAGAAGAAAATGAGAAATTATTTACACAAACAACACTAAATTAAATAAACACATTGCACATTATACACTACAATTTCAAATTAAATAAACACATTATAGACTACAAATTCATTACATTTATATAATTTTGATTTTTAAATGTATAACGTGTAATTTTTGTTTTTAGCGTGTGTGTACGTGAGTGTTTATATAATTTTATTTTACGTTTTAAAAAAATGCATTTTTATATAAATGTTTAATAACTTTAAAGGAGGGTAGTTTTGTTATTTTAACGTAAATTTAATAGTCAATTAACCTTTTATTGAGTCAAATAACTAACACAAGTATTTTGAAACAATAAGGACCAAACAGTACTTGAAACGATTGTCCTTAAATTACTACAATCACACCACGGGACTAAAAAGAAATAAACTCATCACTGACATTTCAAATGTTGCAACCACTCATTACAAACCCTTACTTTTTATGTAAACAGTGCACAGAATTTTAAAATTATATAACCAAGACAGTGACATTTCAATGAACCTTTCACGAAAGTTTGGTGCAAATTACGAGTAATTTTTTCAAGGAGAAGGAATATGCCAAATTTCCTTGAAGTTTCTTCGTGTACAAAAAAAAATGATTCAATAATTCAATCTCAATCATACTTTTTTGACTTTTGATTTGAAAGGAGGGACCCATGTCTCTTGCTCTATTATTAATATACACTTTCATTCATGTATATCTCATTTCTTGGAAGGTGCACTTATGTGACTTAAAAGTCTTGTGAGTCTTTTAAGGAGATAAAATTTCCAAATAATTAATAGATAGATTGGCAAAATCTTTCATCATCTTGGAGGAAGTTAGCTGCTAATTAAATGAAAACAAAATATCTTCTCAAATTGTTTAATTTGTAAATTATTTTACATATGAAAAGAAAATCTCTTTCTCCATTAAATTGAACCTCATTAATTTGTAAGAAACGTTCAACTAATTAACGAATGATAATCTCATTTTCTCAAAGGTTCTTAAAGTCCTTTCACACAATAATGTCTTATTTCAAGTGATTGGGATAGTCTTTGTTGCACAAAATCTTTTCATACAAATAAATCTTTTATTTATTTCCAAGAATTAATTTGGATGCCTATTTCTATCTAAAAAAGAAGGAATTAAGATTGCAAAGATACAAAATTTTGTTACAACTTTTCACAAGATTTTTTTAAATCTAAGATACAAAGAAGATGATATGGTTAAAACATCAAATGACTTAATAATGGCATAGAAGTTAGGTTAATTTTATATCGAGCGAGTTTAGGGTAGTTCACACAAAATTTAGATCCCCTTTTAATTAGAGCTTTTGCTAGTTTTTAAGGATATATCTCATGACACATACAACTTTTACTAGTTTTAAGTAATTACTCTGGGTCGGTGAGCATTAAATGAGAAGTCAGGAAGAAGTTAAATAAGAAGGGCACAAAAAATTAAGAACATAAATTGATGTTTAAATGAATATAGTATTTTATGTGTATTTCATTTAATTCCACAACCACCAATTAATTTGTCTTAACACAACTAAAATAATAACAATAAATGATTTATTTATATGTCAATAATTACTTAAACGACATTTTTTTTAGAGCTAACAAATTCGGTACCGATTACAACCTCTCATAATATGTAATGTCGTCAGGAATATAGTATTTTTATTTTATTTTATATAAAATAGGTTTTATAATAATAACCCCTTTAAGATATAATTAAATAACAAAATTCACTTCTTGGTTATAGTATTAACAAAGATTTTCCTATGGTTAAGTTTTTTGTATTAAAATAAATAGTAGATGGGCAATATAATAAATATTTATTAATTTATCATGTTTTAAATTCTAATGATATACTAGGTAGAGGTATTTATGTTATTTCTTAAATTTAAAGGGGAATTTTATTATTAGATTAAACCTCAAGAGAAAACCCTATAAAATATGTTAAAATTGAAACAGTATTAGTATTTTCATTTTCTATAAGCAAATATTTTAAAATTTTATATTAATTATAATAAGTTAAATGGTACTTACGATAAATTTAAAATTAAATTTATAAATTTGAGTTTGAAAATGTTCATAATTACACAATGTGGGTGGGGATTACTATGGAGAACCACAAACGGGCCCGATCAGCCCATATGGAAATTTGGACAAGGCATGGAGGGAGGCCGAAAATGTGGTTAATATAGGCCCAAAAGGGTGATAAATCCAACTCGGAGCCATAAAAGAAGTCCAAAAAAGGCCTAGAAAAGGTCCAATGACATAGTCACATAGACCCTAAAAGGTGACCTCGCAAGCATAGGCCGAAATCATGGGTTGGCCGCCATGGGGAAGACTGAAGAGTGACTGCCCAATGTCATTGCATGTGGTATGTTAAGGATAAAGGTACACTAAACCTTTCTTAGACTTTAAACAAGGCATTAAATGATTAACTTGGGGATGACAAGCTAAAAGCGGCATGCAGGGAGCATAACTGCATGAGTACCACATGACGCAGCCCAAGGTGAGCATGAATTAAAGGCTTTTAATGAATTTTAGACAAGAGACTACAAGGTGAACAAAACACAATACAAGAAAAAGAGTTCATTATATTAAAGAAGTACAAACATTCTTGGTTGATCAATAAAGTTACGGACACCGGTATTTTTATACTGAAAATGTGTATTGGCCTATGTATCCTCTGACTCGCACCAACATTCAGACGCGTTATTAAATATTTTTCTAGTGAACGACCGTCCATCAAATATGGACGACCGTTCACTTATATGGACTCCCGTCCATATTATATAGATGGGGTCTATTTACTACGGACGAACGTCCCTATTTAAAGGATGCCCCTCTATATGTTAGGGATGCCCGTTCATCAGTTATGGACGACCGTCCCTTAATTTGGGACGGGCATTATCTAAATATAAAAATTAAAAAAAAAACTTTAGACGCCCGTCCATTCCTTATGGACGGGCGTACCTAACTTGTGGATGAGCGTCCGTAAGGAATGGACGACCGTCCATAATGTTCTTTTTAAAAAATTTCCTTGTTGTAAAGATTATCGGAGAGTGAAATGGGAGTTGATGTAATGGAAATTGGAGTTCAAATCAGGAAAGTTATGGCTTTTTCAATAAGAAGTTGCTATAGATCAGTTTGTAATCATCCATTCCTTGTGGGTTTTGTGTGTTTTTTGATACTGCAGAAAGTTCCTCACCAGATGCTTCGATGGCTGACATTTTCCCAATGCTTGATGAGCTCCACCCGCTTCTAGACTTGGAAGCTCCTCTACCTGTCCATATATCTAATGATGAATCAGATGCTGGTTCGCGGATGTCCCATAAGAGTGATATTGAAAGCGTTGAGTCTAAGGAAAGTGATAATGACGGAGAAGGAGAAGGTGAGGATGATAGTGAGGAGGAGGAAGAAGAAGAAGCGGCAAAGGAGGAAAATGAGGATGAAAGTAAATCTGCAATTAAATGGACGGAGGTTGATCAGAAGAATCTCATGGATTTGGGGACTTCAGAGCTTGAAAGGAAACAACGTCTAGAGAATCTTATTGCGAGGAGAAGAGCTCGTAAAAACTTGAGATTGATGACGAGAAGAATCTGATAGATTTAGAAAGTACTGATAGATTTAGAAGACAAAACCCATTTTTCCATTTAATGTTCCACCTATTGCAACAACAAGACAAAACCCATTTGAACAAGACAAAACCCAAATTTTTTATTTTGTTTTTTAAACCAGAATAAGGGACGGGCGTCCACTCTTTACGGACACTCGTCCAAACATAATGGACGGGCGTCCCTCATTTGAGGACGTTCGTCCAAAATGAAGGGACGGTCGTCGATAATTGATGAACGACCGTCTCTAAATTTTTTTAATGTTTTACAAAGAATTGTTAATGGATGGGCGTCCATTAAAATATAAATGCCCCTTTAATATTTAGGGACAGCCGTCCATAACCTATGAACGACCGTCCCTAATTTTTCTAAGAATTTTTTATTCATGGACGGGCATCCTTTAAATAGGGACGCCCGTCCGTAGTAAATGGACCCCCGTCTATATAATATGGACGGGAGTCTATGTAAGTGAACGACCGTCTATATTTGATGAACGACCGTTCATTAGAAAAAATTAAAAATAATGTGAAATGTGTCTAGTTTACTGATGTGAATTGAGGGACACGTAGGCTGGTACAATATTTCGGTGTAAAAATTCCGATGTCCGTAACATTTTTGCTTGGTTGATCATAGGATCCTAAAAACCCCCTAACAAACGCCTTTGAAAAGTCTATCCTTGTACAAACATATTCTATACATTCCAACAGTATTTGAAAAGTCTTACAGATGAGGGTTGATGAGATGATGACGCAGGAGGAGCGGAAATAGGGTATTTCTCATAGATTTCAATTATGTGAGACTGGACATACTCAGTAATTGCTTCTCTACCGCCGCTTGTTCCACTGGAATTGGTGCAGGTTGTCACTTTGTCCATTACAGTTAGGTGTCTGCGTTCATTTATTTTAAATATTGATTACAAACATTTAAATTCAATTTAAATAAAAGTTAAATATCATATGCATGGGATCCAAATTTCCTAACACCTACTAGATATCAAAAGGAATTTCTACTTCTAGGGGTCTTTTGATTCCCTTTTTCGTTTTTACAAAATTCAATGAATCAATGTAAGAAATTAAATTTTATATTTTCAATATTTGATAATGGATTAATTTGATATATCAACTTAGAGACTATTTTATTTAAGCACACCCAAACTTTTCAGAAACAATCAACAATTCTTCACAATCATTAAAAACCTCCCTTGAAACTCTGAAGTTTATAATAACACCAATTAACCATTAATACAAAACATCCCGAAGGTGGTCTCAAATTTTTTAGCTCAAATGATGTATAATCCTATTTGGTGTTCAATGTAATGAAGTGGTGATTTGATGAATAATATAACAATGCCGAATAAAATGACATGTCATCTGAAATGCGAAAAAAAAAAAATTCAAAAGATTTATAGAAAAATTAAGTTTAAAATACATTATAAAACATGAAAATAAATATACAATAATTGAGAATTATAAACATAAAAAAAATGATAATATCTGTTAATACAAAAATCTGCACCAACTAAAGTGATTCAATCGACCCTAGTGGGATCGGAACTGGTGTGTGCGTGATTACAGATAATCAGCAATGAACGAATAATGAATGTAAAGAAGAAGATTACACATAGATTTTTAAAGTAGTTCAGCGAGATAAACTTTTAAGCCTACGTCCACTGTTTTTTGTATTTGTTGTGAGAGCTTACAGACTAAGTTCTATTAGAATTTCCTAACCACTTTTTCATCATTTGACGGGGTTTATATACGAAGTTTGTACAAGAAGTAAGAACGAAATTANCCGATTACAACCTCTCATAATATGTAATGTCGTCAGGAATATAGTATTTTTATTTTATTTTATATAAAATAGGTTTTATAATAATAACCCCTTTAAGATATAATTAAATAACAAAATTCACTTCTTGGTTATAGTATTAACAAAGATTTTCCTATGGTTAAGTTTTTTGTATTAAAATAAATAGTAGAGGGGCAATATAATAAATATTTATTAATTTATCATGTTTTAAATTCTAATGATATACTAAAGGTAGAGGTATTTATGTTATTTCTTAAATTTAAAGGGGAATTTTATTATTAGATTAAACCTCAAGAGAAAACCCTATAAAATATGTTAAAATTGAAACAGTATTAGTATTTTCATTTTCTATACGCAAATATTTTTTAATTTTATATTAATTATAATAAGTTAAATGGTACTTACGATAAATTTAAAATTAAATTTTTGAAAATGTTCATAATTATACAATGTGGGTGGGGATTACTATGGAGAACCACAAACGGGCCCGATAGGCCCATATGGAAATTTGGACAAGGCATGGAGGGATGCCGAAAATGTGGTTAATATAGGCCCAAAGGGTAATAGTCCAACTCGGAGCCATATAAGAAGTCCAAAAAGGCCTAGAAAAGGTCCAATGACATAGTCACATTGGACCCTAAAAGGTGACCTCGCACGCATAGGCCGAAATCATGGGTTGGCCACCACGGGGAAGAGTGAGTGCCCAATGTCACTTTAAACCAGGCATTAAATGATTAAATTGGAGATGACAAGCTAAGGTGCTGCATGGATGTCACCTTGGCGAAATCACAAGGCATGCAAGGAGCATAACTGCATGAGTACCACATGACGTAGCCCAAGGTGAGCATAAATTAAAGGCTTTTAATGAATTTTAGACAAGAGACTACAAGGTGAACAAAACACAATACGAGAAAAAGAGTTCATTATATTAAAGAAGTACAAACACTCTTGGTTAATCATAGGATCCTAAAACCCCCAACAAATACCTTTGAAAAGTCTATCCTTGTACAGACATATTCAATACATTCCAAAAGTCTTTGGTAAGGGTTGATGAGATGCTGACGCAGGAGGAGCGGAAATGGGGTCTTTCTCATAGATTTCAATTACGTGAGATGGGACATCCTCAGTAATTGCTTCTCTGCCGCCACTTGTTCTACTGGAATTGGTGCAGGTTGTTCATTATAGAGCCGGAACAAATGGGTCGGGCTAGGCGGGTCAACTCTAATCCGATCCGTAATAAAAAGAGTTCAACCCGTCAGCAACCTCCAGACGGGCCGGATTGCTATACGGCAACCTGCCAACCCGGCGGGTTGCTTTTTTTTTTTTTTGCAATAGCGGGTTGGCCCAAAAAATTTAAAAAATTAATTATTTTTTTCAAATTTCTCCCATTTTTGTTGTTCTTTTAATTAAACTATTATGATTGAACTCTTACAAATAATTTTACACAATAATATTAAACTATGCTTCTAAATCATAAAGATTAAAATGCATAAAACTTCGTAATATTTGACACATNGTTCAAATCAGGAAAGTTATGGCTTTTTCAATAAGAAGTTGCTATAGATCAGTTTGTAATCATCCATTCCTTGTGGGTTTTGTGTGTTTTTTGATACTGCAGAAAGTTCCTCACCAGATGCTTCGATGGCTGACATTTTCCCAATGCTTGATGAGCTCCACCCGCTTCTAGACTTGGAAGCTCCTCTACCTGTCCATATATCTAATGATGAATCAGATGCTGGTTCGCGGATGTCCCATAAGAGTGATATTGAAAGCGTTGAGTCTAAGGAAAGTGATAATGACGGAGAAGGAGAAGGTGAGGATGATAGTGAGGAGGAGGAAGAAGAAGAAGCGGCAAAGGAGGAAAATGAGGATGAAAGTAAATCTGCAATTAAATGGACGGAGGTTGATCAGAAGAATCTCATGGATTTGGGGACTTCAGAGCTTGAAAGGAAACAACGTCTAGAGAATCTTATTGCGAGGAGAAGAGCTCGTAAAAACTTGAGATTGATGACGAGAAGAATCTGATAGATTTAGAAAGTACTGATAGATTTAGAAGACAAAACCCATTTTTCCATTTAATGTTCCACCTATTGCAACAACAAGACAAAACCCATTTGAACAAGACAAAACCCAAATTTTTTATTTTGTTTTTTAAACCAGAATAAGGGACGGGCGTCCACTCTTTACGGACACTCGTCCAAACATAATGGACGGGCGTCCCTCATTTGAGGACGTTCGTCCAAAATGAAGGGACGGTCGTCGATAATTGATGAACGACCGTCTCTAAATTTTTTTAATGTTTTACAAAGAATTGTTAATGGATGGGCGTCCATTAAAATATAAATGCCCCTTTAATATTTAGGGACAGCCGTCCATAACCTATGAACGACCGTCCCTAATTTTTCTAAGAATTTTTTATTCATGGACGGGCATCCTTTAAATAGGGACGCCCGTCCGTAGTAAATGGACCCCCGTCTATATAATATGGACGGGAGTCTATGTAAGTGAACGACCGTCTATATTTGATGAACGACCGTTCATTAGAAAAAATTAAAAATAATGTGAAATGTGTCTAGTTTACTGATGTGAATTGAGGGACACGTAGGCTGGTACAATATTTCGGTGTAAAAATTCCGATGTCCGTAACATTTTTGCTTGGTTGATCATAGGATCCTAAAAACCCCCTAACAAACGCCTTTGAAAAGTCTATCCTTGTACAAACATATTCTATACATTCCAACAGTATTTGAAAAGTCTTACAGATGAGGGTTGATGAGATGATGACGCAGGAGGAGCGGAAATAGGGTATTTCTCATAGATTTCAATTATGTGAGACTGGACATACTCAGTAATTGCTTCTCTACCGCCGCTTGTTCCACTGGAATTGGTGCAGGTTGTCACTTTGTCCATTACAGTTAGGTGTCTGCGTTCATTTATTTTAAATATTGATTACAAACATTTAAATTCAATTTAAATAAAAGTTAAATATCATATGCATGGGATCCAAATTTCCTAACACCTACTAGATATCAAAAGGAATTTCTACTTCTAGGGGTCTTTTGATTCCCTTTTTCGTTTTTACAAAATTCAATGAATCAATGTAAGAAATTAAATTTTATATTTTCAATATTTGATAATGGATTAATTTGATATATCAACTTAGAGACTATTTTATTTAAGCACACCCAAACTTTTCAGAAACAATCAACAATTCTTCACAATCATTAAAAACCTCCCTTGAAACTCTGAAGTTTATAATAACACCAATTAACCATTAATACAAAACATCCCAAAGATGGTCTCAAATTTTTTAGCTCAAATGATGTATAATCCTATTTGGTGTTCAATGTAATGAAGTGGTGATTTGATGAATAATATAACAATGCCGAATAAAATGACATATCATCTGAAATGCGAAAAAAAAAAAATTCAAAAGATTTATAGAAAAATTAAGTTTAAAATACATTATAAAACATGAAAATAAATATACAATAATTGAGAATTATAAACATAAAAAAAATGATAATATCTGTTAATACAAAAATCTGCACCAACTAAAGTGATTCAATCGACCCTAGTGGGATCGGAACTGGTGTGTGCGTGATTACAGATAATCAGCAATGAACGAATAATGAATGTAAAGAAGAAGATTACACATAGATTTTTAAAGTAGTTCAGCGAGATAAACTTTTAAGCCTACGTCCACTGTTTTTTGTATTTGTTGTGAGAGCTTACAGACTAAGTTCTATTAGAATTTCCTAACCACTTTTTCATCATTTGACGGGGTTTATATACGAAGTTTGTACAAGAAGTAAGAACGAAATTAAAGGGATTACAATTAGATTGAAATATAACTCCGATATTCTCATAATTGGGCGCTGTAATTGCACAATGATTATTGTCAATTTGATCATTCTCGTAATATCTAGGATCTGAAGTTATCTAGGAATTAATTGAATGATTATTCAGATTGTTCGCGATTAGCTTGTGTTGGGTTGAGTTATATCTCGATAAGCTTATGTTGGGTCGGACAACTAGTAGAGTCGGATTGATTCTGGGTCGAGCTACTACCTCGTAACTCCCTGAGCTTGGTGAAAAAATCACACACAACAATATCTTTGGAGATTTATTCTAATAAACCTAATTCAATACATTACCAAATTTTTTTATTTAATTAATTTAAATTTATTTCTAAGGGAATTTATGCATTTTAATTAATTTTAATAGTTACATTAAATTTTTTTTAATATATTTGGAAATGATGTGGCATTTTCATTTAATTAACAAATAATTTATTCTCAATTAATGAGTTGACCTTTTAACTTCACATTTATATTTATCTTTTCCCGCATCACTTTACAATCATACATTATTTTGAAACTTGCTTACTTATAATAAATTTACGAAAAGAACTTTCCCCAAATTGATAATACCCTTAAATTCCAGGTGTTTGCGATTGTTTTCTACAAGGAGAATTTCCTAAATTACAAATGCTAAACTGTATTAACTGCTTATCTCAATACTCAACTATTCCACTGTTCTCAACTAAAGATAGAGGAGATGTATACCGTATACCAGTTTGTTTTTATATAGGGGGAGTTGTGGTGTGGTGCTTGCACTTCCCAATCATAGTGGCATTATCGTATTAGCAAATGTATCCATATAAAGAATATTTCTAACAAATAAAAGATTAATTAATTGAGAATGCCAATGTATAAAACCAAACTTCAAACCAAATGAAAAAGAGACTTTCAGCAATAAACTAGTTACGGCTGCAATTAAGGTGACAGTAAAGTGTCTTACAGATCTTCCAAATTGCGGAGGCCTCAATGCCAATGGTGGCTCGGTGCCTCTTCCCACATCTCTTGCTTGATGCAGATTCTTGTATTCTCAATCCACGCTTCGGGCTTCGCAACTTTCTCAATGCTTTAACTGTTTGATAGTTTAATATCCGAGACAGACGACTTACTTATACGGGAGAAGACAGACTAAATGTTAGGATGCGAAATCCCACGGTGTTTTGACATGTCATGGAAACGAAAGTAGGGTGGGTTGGAAAAATTTCCTAACACGTACACCTTCAAACACGTATATATATTGGAATAAAAACATGACAAATATAATTTGATGCCCCCACCAATTCTATGACAGACTACCAACCCATTGGACAATTACAAAGTGAATAAAAACTCATGCTGATATTTTTTTCCAAAAATTATCAATCATTGAATTAAACGTGATTGATGACATAAGGTGATATACTCAATGTACGATAAACTTTTCCCCTGGACTATTTCTAAAAAAAGAAATTTAAGTTGAATTTTTCGCCAATTATTTAGAGTAATTTTGAAGTAATGTTATATTTACAAATATATCTTATAAAATTTTTTATATAAAATGATACGGTAAAAAATGAATAGAAGAGTGAATATAATGAGTTTGACTTTTTGTTTCACTCCTCCATCTATTTTTGTCACATCACTTTATATGAAAATCTTTATAAGATTTGTTTGTATGTATAGTATTATTATATTTTGACCTGATCTAATAAAAAATTAGAAGTATAATTATTTTTTCTTACATCTAATTAACCATAATTACGTTTAATTAATTTTATGAATAAAATGTTATTTGTTTGAGCAATAAATTATGTGTTATCTGCATTTTACATAAAATTTTATTTGGAAAAAAAGAACAAGACTGGAGTCGTAGGTTGCAGTTTTCGTAGACCCAAAACTCTAACACATAATTTTCTTTGTATAAATTGACAGAATTAAATACAAACAACATTGCAAGGAGTCATAGAAGATGATCTCACTCACAATCTTTGTCAAATAAGCTTGCAGTTTTCATCGGAAGTTCTTTATTTCTTTTATGTGTTGTTAGGTAAAGATTCCGTTCGTTGCCATTTTTCTTGCGCATAATTTCTTCCAAGTAAAACCATGGTGAGTAATGCAGAAAACTTTGATGGAATATGTGAGCCATAAATAATGTGTTATGTGCATTTTACCTTTTTATTTTTTATTTTTTTTGGGAAAACAGGACAAGACCCAAGTTATAAGTTGTAGTTTTTGTAGACCCGAAAGTCTAATACATAAATTGGCGAAATTAAATACAAACAACATTGTGGGGAGTCATAGAAGGCTGCCTCACTCACAATGTTTGTCTAAACAGATTGCCGTTTCCATCAGGCAGTTTATTTAAATTAAGAAACTAAAGGAATTTTTTACGTTTTATTAGTTAAAGATTCCGTTTGTTTACCGTTTTTCTTGTGCATAATTTCTTCCAAGTGCCACAATGAGTAATACGTTATAGGAGAAAACTTTGATGGAATTTGTGAGCCATAAATTATGTCTTCTATGCATTTTACCTTTTTTTTTTTTTTTTTTTTAATTTTTTGAAAATAGGACAAGACCCGAGTTGTAGTTAGTAGTTTTTGTAGACTCAAAATTCTAACACAAATTTCTTTGTATAAATTGACAGAACTAAATGCAAACAGAATTGCGAGGTGTCAAAGAAAACTGCTTCACTCACAATCCTTGTCAAATATACTTGCCGTTTCCATCAAGCAGATTTTTATTTAAATGAAGAAGATAAATGAATCTTTTATGTCTTACGCATAATTTCTTCCAAGTAAACCACAGTGAGTAATATGTTATTTAAGAAAACTTTAATGGAATATGTGAGCCATAAATTATGTGTTATGTGCATTTTACCTAAAATTTTATTTGGAAAATAGGACAAGACCTAAACCCTAGGTTGTAGTTTTTGTAGACCCAAAATTCTACTACCAATAATACTATGTACACTAATCATTTTGTATTAATCCAAGTATTAATATTGAAAATTTGAAATTTCTTAAAAAAAATTTCAAATTTTCAATGTTAGTATTTGGATTAGTATAAATTGGTTAGTGCACATAGCATTACTCTTCTAACATATATGTTTCTTTGTATAGATTGATGGAATTAAATACAAACATCATTGTACGAAGTCAAACAAGACTGCCTCTCTCACAATCTTTG